AGAGAGAGAAATAGAGATAGATATTGGGAATTGAACCCAGGGCCATGAGCATGCTAAGCAAACAGTCTGCCACTGAGCTACATCCCAGGGCAGGTTATTTAAAAAATGCTAACAGTAAAGAGCTATCTGCTGGCCACATTCCCAGCAGTTGGGGGAATAGGCCTTCAGTGCTAAAGGGATATGCTAAATATGGATGTCAAGTTGCAGTGTCCAGTACAGTGCCCCTAAATTGGTTTTACTCTGGGAGAAATAAGACTTTGATGAGTAGTAGTTGGGGGAACTAGCTATTTGATGAAACAGACTTGCCAAAGCAGCTTAGGAGAGTAAGGGCCATATATATCACCTTATAGAAGTAGGTATAGATGGCCAACATGAAGAATTTTCTCAAGGAGTTTTGATATAAGAGGGGCAGAGAAATGGGACAGTGAGTAAAAAGGATTGTAAAGTCTTCCCTTAGTAGGTGTGTGATTTTGAGCAATTAATTAATCTTTCTGTTCCTCAGTTTCCTAGCTTATAAAATGGAAAAAATAATAGGATTATGTATTAAATAGTTAATATATTTAAAAGCATTTAGAAGAGTGCTTGTCATTTAATGTATTAGTTATCTACTGCTGTGTTATCACCATACATTTCATAGTTTTAAACACAATAATTATTTCACAGTTTGTGTGGATCAGGAGTCCTGACATGCTCTTAGTTTGTTCTTCTGCTTCGCAGTCTCTGACAGATACAAAGTGTTAGCCATTGCCATATTCTCACATGAAGTCTTGACTAGAGAAGGATCTTTCCAAGTTCATGTGGCTGTTGGCCACATGAACAACAACCTCTGGGTTGTTGGGCCTAGAGTCATAATTCTTAGCTTGCATTTGGCTAGAGCCTGCTCCTAGTTGTTTTTTTTTTTTCCCCCTGCCATGTGGACCTCTCCTACAGGGCCGCTTGCATAATCAAGGCATGCAAAGTGAGAAAACAGTGTTGTAATGTAACCCAATCAGAGAAATGACATCCCATCCTTTGCCATGTGTTTCAGGTCTATAAGGAAAATGGATTACACAAGTGTATGATGTCAGCACAGGGGAGTCATTGTGAGCCAACTTAGAGTCTTTCTGCCACATTTAGTATGTACTGTTAGCTGCTATTATTATTCTGATGGAAATGAAAAGGTAGAATTGAAGGAAAGATGTCCTTGATTAGACAACAGGAAGAGAGATGGAATGTGCACAAGTAGAGGGATTGGCCATAGTTCATCTGTTGTTTTAAAATGGGGAAAGCAGCATAAAAATACCTGTGGCTAAATGGTAGACTCAGCTTTTTTCTTTTGTCTTTCCTTTGTGGAAGAGGAAGTTAGAGTATCAGCATGGAGGGAGGGGAAAGAAAGAGGTGTTGTAGATTTGAGAAGTGAACTTTGGAATCATCTGGAGTTTGGGAGTGAATTGACTAGGGAGAAGAGTTTAATTTGCCAGACATCACCCAGGGTTTAATGTCATGTATTTAAAGTGAGACCAGTTAGCAGGATTATGTTTCTTCAGCTGCTCAGATGCAAATGTGGAAAGATGATAAGGCTTTAATAAGGATTAAGGTTCTGCCAGGGCATTTGATGGAGGGAGCATGGAAGGAAATGATTATAATTATATTGACTGGCCATGAAATCTAGGCCCGTTAAAGAGGGAAGTGAGGCTTAAGCAGATGGGGAACAGTGAAAAGATGTTAGTGAATTGAAAAGATGGAAGAATTATTGGACACAAAGTACTGAGGAAAGAGCTGAGAAGTTAGGAGATCATGGTCAGATTGGGTGCTTGAAATACAGGATAAGGAAGGGATACTTGAAATGCAGATTATGGAAGGCCTTAGGTATCTTGAAATAGGGTTTATTTGAACCATTGCCTAGGAATATGATAAAGAAAAGATACCATCTTATCCCTGATGTCTTTACTAGGGAATGTGGCTTGTGATTAGTAGAGTGGACTGCTTCTAGAAAAGGCAGTTTTCCTTTTGCATTGGAGTAATTAGTGTGAAGGTTCGCTAGAGTTAAAAATCAAAGACAAAATAAGAAGCAAGAACTTACTTGTGAGGTAGTGTGTCAAGATTTGAGGCCATAAGGTAATAATTTACATAGTCCAAGATTTTAAAGATTTTATTTGACTTTGAACAGTACTTGTAGAGATCTTGTATTTAGTTGTGAACATTTGCTTCCTCATCTTTTTTGTTTCTCATTTATTTTTTATTAAAATTTTAAGCAAATACATAAAAACAAAGATTATGGATATTATACAGTACCATACGTTTCAGTACATGTGTACATTGTGTAATCAGTTAAACATATCTATCTTCTCATTTATTACTTCTTCATGGTGAAAACATTCAAAATCCTTTCTTCTTTTTTGAAATAATACTGTACACAATTGATATCTGTAGTCACTCCACTCTTCAAATAGCATACTAGAACTAACTTCTGACCTGTAACTCAGAGTGAGTACCTTTCCTCATCCAAAGTTGAACTTTGCTCATCCATCTCCCCTGCTCTTCACAGCCTCTGGTAACCTCTATTCTCTCAATTTTTATCGGATCAACTTTTATAATATTTCACATATAAATAACATCATGCAGTACTTTTCTGTCTTTGCCTAGTTTACTTAACAAAATGATTTCCAGTTCTATCCAGGTTGTCACATTCATTTTTATGCCTGAGTATATTCCATTGGGTGTATGTACCACATTTTCTTTAACCATTCATCAATTGCTGGGCTCTTAGGTTAATTTCATTTTTTGGTTATTTTGAATACTGCTGCAGTAAATATGGGAGTAAAGATGTTTCTTTGACATACTGCTTTCATATCTTTTGGATATATACCCAGGAGTGGGATTGATGGATCATATGTTTGATAGTTTTGTTTTTAATATTTTGAGAAATTTCTGTGTTGTTTTCTGTAATGACTGTATTAAAATACTTACATTCCTGTCAACAGTGTGCAAGGGTTCCTTTTTCACAACATCTTCAAACTCTTATCTTTTGTCTTTTTGTTTATAATCATTCTTACTAAAGTAAGGTGATATCTCATTGTTTTGATTTGCATTTCCCTGATGATTAGTGATATTGAGCATTTTTTTTCATATACTGGTTGTCCATTTGTAAATCTTGTTTTGAGAAATATCTACTTAGCTCTACTACCAAATTTACAATTAGATTTCTTTGCTATTAAGGATTTTTTTTTTAAGTTTCTCATCTTTTCTTGTTAGATGTATGGTTTGCAGTCCCTTCCCCCATTCTACAGACTGTTTCTTCACTCTGTTAATTATTTTCTTTGCTGTATAGAAGCTTTTTAGTTTGACATGTTTCTGTTTGCCTGTATTTCCATTTGTTTCCTGTGCTGTTAGGGTCTTTTTAAAAAAAATCCTTACCTATTCCAGTGTCTTATAGTGTTTCCCTGTGTTTTATTCTAGTAGTCACATTGTTTTTGGACTTTACATATCAATTCATTCTTCCACACATGCATACCCAGTTTTTCCAGCACCATCTATAGTTTACTAATCAGCATCTACGTACCTTGACATAGTAATAGCACCTGGATTTTCCTTATGGTGACTAGTACTCCCTGTTTTCAATCTTTGTGATTCTAATGGTGTTTACTGCCCCTTTCTAAAGATGTCATCAACTCTGGCTAGCCTGTGAAAATATACCCAAGGAAGTAATTGCCACTTGGGAAGGAGACTTTTGCTGTTTTGGAGTTGCTTCAGCCATCTTGAGAATTGAGTCAACATGGGTGGAGGGGAAAAGAGTTGAAAGACAGTGAAAGAGTGAGTCCTCATGATAATATTTGAGCCCTTAATCAAGCCCTTAATGCTGGTTGTCTTGGTTGTCTTGGGCCAATAAATACTCTATAAGTAGGTTTTCTTTTCACCCATGATCAAAGGATTCCTAATGGATAGATACAATTACCATAAGGCTTTTGCCAAATCCTTTAAGCTTGTTTGAGTAGTGTGCAGCGAAGCTGACATGTTAAGATAATAGAATCTTCAAAGTCCTTTTTCCTCTAGTTTTTTTTACATACTTTTCTTATTGTTGGTACCCCTAGGGAAGGCAGTGTGGGGCAGTAAGAGAATATCAGATCAAACTAGAAACAAGCCTTATGTCTGATACTAGCTAACTATATTGTTTCAACCTTCTTAGATTCAGTTTTTGTCTGTAGAATGAGGAGAATGATGGTGATTTTATAGTTAATTGGAAGGATTAAACGTGATAGTGAATATGAAATGTCTGGCATGATCCTTGATGCTCTTTGACTCCCTTCTTCCTTCCTCTTTTCCCAACCTCTGGTATATTGTTTGATACACAGCAGTAATTCAATACGTTCTAGTGTAAAGAATGCATACATAATTGAACAAATACAATCAGGCTCTTCTTTTTACCCTTCTGTTTTTGAATTTTTACTATACTCAAGGTACTGCAATTTATTTAATAGTCAAGCGTTTTTTTCTTTTCCTTTTTAAATTTCATTTTTTTAAATGAAATATTACCACATAGATTCCCCCCTCCCCCCCAGTTTTGGCATCTGCCTCTGGCTCAATTATGCATTCATGTTCATGTTATCATTCTAAGATTATTGTGAGAAATAATGACACATAACATTCATTGACTACTTGCGTCGCATAAGGCATTGTACTTTAAACTTTACATATAGTATCTTTTTTACTCTTCATAATAGGATAACTTTAAAGGTATGTAATGTAGTCCATACTACTTCTTAAAAGATTCAAGGTTAGGTATATAATAGACATTCAGCATTTTATTTCATTTTTCTTTATTAAAATTAAGTTCCTTCTAATTGCATGAGTACAGTTATAGACACAATATAATGTATTGGGTGAAGAATGCAGATCCTGGAGCTTTGCTGCCTAGATCCGAATCCTGGCTCTATCATTTACTAATTATTTAACTCTAGATAAGTTATAAATCCTGGAGTACCCCATTCTCATCACCTGTAAAATGTTTCACTTCATTTTAGGTTCCTAAATATTTGTCACAGCAATGGGCTAAAGCCCCTGGAAGAGGTGAAGTTGGGAAACTGCGGATTGCCAAGTAAGTTATTTACATATTACTAACATTTTAAAAAGTTGTTTTTAAAAAAATTTTACAGATGTTTTGTATATGATTATAGTTCTTGGTCAGATAGAGAATTTACTTGGAAGATGAAAAGAATGAGCACACTAAGGCTTGTCAAAAGAGATGGTTATGTGCCTTGTAAAGAGAAATTCTTGTCTGTGTACATGCACTCTTCAGTGACTGGTGGTGTGACTATAGGGTGCAATTTATTGGTAAAATGTGAGATCAATGAAACAGTGGAGTATATAGTTCCCCTACTCCTCTATCCTCTGTATGTTTTGTGTGGAGGTGTGCCTGGGTTGGGTATAACTGGAAGCACCAAAGAAAGCTTTTCAGTAAAAGGACTTTGCCACTGTTCTACTATTCCTGTTTCTAGGCACTTTGAAAGTAAGTAGGGAACTTCTAGTAAACAGTGTAACAGAGAAGCCTCAAAAGCTGAGCTGATGTAATCCTAAGGTCTCATATTCCTTTCTTTCTATCCATTCATTTTAATCAAAACTCTAGTCAGCTTTCCATGCCTACTACTCGATTGAAATAGCTCTTACCTATTAACAATATCCTCTCCTTTATCAATTAGTGTTTGCTTTGTAACAATCAACCCCCAAACCTGGTGGTTTAGAATTAAAACCATCTTATTTGTCTTTAATTCTGTGGATTGGTTTTAGTTGGGCTGACCTGGCTGGCTTTCTTGGTTAAAATGACATCCTTAGTGTCTTGTGATGTGATAACAGCTGGGGCAATGACCATTCGTTTCATCTCCAGCATATTTATTCTCATAATGGAAAAAGAGTTCCAAGTAGCCAAAAAGAGGGAAGCCCCAGTGTACAAGCACTTTGCAAACCTGATCTTGTGTATGTTTGCTGGAGTTCTATTAGCAAAGCAACTCACAAATCTAAGCCCAAACTCAAGGGTGGTGTAATAGAGTCCCATGTCAAAGAATTTGTTGTAAAGAATTTGTGTTCCTTTTTTTTTTTTTAAAACAGAGTGTGCCGTATCCAAATTCCTAAATCCTATCGTCAAATAGCAGTCTTCTTAATTGACCTTCTACAGAACTTGTTATGACTGATCACGTCTTTCCTGGAATTTTTTTTTTTTTTTAACTTCACATCTGAAATGGCACTCTCTTGACCTTTCCCTTGTTGACTGTTTTTATTTTTAGGTGTAGAGGGACACAGTACTGTTTATAGTAAAAAAGAACTTTTCATGACTTTGTGATGAGATGACTCTCAATCTTAAGATGAAATTAGACTGGGTTCATCAAGTACTTTTATTTATTTATTTTTACGTGGAGCTGAAGATGGAATCAGGTGCCCCACATGTGCTAGGCAAGTGCCCTACCACTGAACTACAACCCTAACCCTAAGTCTCTGTTTTTAACTACTTCTTAGGTCAGTCTTCTAATTTAAATGTCCTTGGTTGTTTTCTTCTCTCTTCACTTGCTTTCAAGGTGTTCTTATCTGATTTCCTAGCTGTAAATAGCTCAAGCTTTGCTCTACACCTGAATTCCACACTCATAATCCTGGTAGCTTCCTTGATGTTCCTTTTCACATGTCTCAGATGCATCTCAAACTTAGTAATTGCAATGAGAGGCTGAGACAGGAGGATTCTAAGTTCAAGATCAGTCTTAGCAACTTAGGGAGGCCCTAAGCAACTAAGTGAGACCCAGTCTGAAAATAAAAAGGGCTGGGGATGGAGCTCAGTGGTCAAATGCCCCTTGCTTAAATGCCCAATACCAAAACCAGAACACTTAGTAATTGTACTTCATCTGTTCCATCTCTTTGGAACAGTCTTCCTCTAGATATCTCCGCGGCTGGCTCTCATACTTCTTTTTTAGGTCTCTGGTCAAATAACAGCTCATCAAAACCTTTTCTGACCACCATATACAAAATAGCACCCTGTATTTTCTACCTTTCTTACTACTGTTTGTCCTTAGTAGTTTATAATTTATTCACCTTCTACTGTGCCAGTCTGGCATATTGTATATTTGTTTTGTGTATTGTCCATTTCTCCTACTAATGTATAAGCACTATAAAGTCATATTTTTTGTCTTGATGATTACTGTATCTCCAGCATTCAAGAACAGTGCTTAATACAGTATATATTTGGTAAATTGTTATTGAATCAGTAAATGAAAACTATACATTTAAGTGGAAACAGACTTGAATTCTGATTGGTAAGATAATTCCATTTGGTTCTAGTTTCTGCTTGATTAGTTACTATCAGTGAAGCTTTGTCCAGGTTACTGAATCTTTTCTGAATTTTTATTTCTTATCCTTAAAGTTGCCTGTTTTGTAGGACTTTTATATAAATCCAGTGAGATAATATGGATGTAGTTATTTGTATTTAACTTTATAAAATGAATGTATTCTTGGAAGGTTGTAGATAAATTACATTTTCTGTAGTTGTCATACTTTTATTCATTTATCTTTTCTGTGGTGCTGGGGATTGAACCCAGGGCCTGGTTCATGCTAGGTATGTACTTTACCCTAGCTAGCCTCAGTCATACCTTTACTGTAAAAGGAAACACTGTATACTTTTAATTGAAATCTGTAGTGATTTATTTATTTTTTTTTTCTGGAAGTGGAATTCTTTGTAATGCAGATAATTATCTACTTTTCTGTTAAAAGACTTTGGAATTTTTTATATTAGATTTTACCGGTAGCGGAATCGGAGCTACCGCCAAAATCTCAGAAATGTATGTCACCAAAGAAAGGCAGGCTAAAGGAGAAGGGCCTTAGCCACTTAACTCCAGGATGTTATGTCCTGACTTCACTGGAGCTCAAGACCTGGCTTCTCATCCCAAGTATTTGTGGATAGTTGATTGGTTTGGGGCCTTATCTCTCTAGCCTTATCTTTTTGCCTTGTAAAATATGAATAACAATGTCTTCTCCACCCATGGGAGAGAGTTTATAAGACAAGTGAAACAGCTTAAGTGCTTTGAGTTGGTTAAACTCAGATGTTCTCCTTCTCCTACCATTACATTTCTGTAAATCTCTGTATAAAGAAAATATGTGTTTGAGGAATGTAAAATCTTTCTTTTAGTGTGGGAAGGGGAGACTTATGGGAAAAGAGTAAAAGGAACCAAGGTTCAAGTAAAGCCATGCAAGCCCCAAATATTACTTTTATCACTAAAGTAAGATCTTAAAGATGACATGCTAAATAAGCAATAATGAGTATGTTCTGCATTTTTTCTTGACAATCCTGGCTTAGTAGAAAATTTCAAGCTCTTTTTCTCCTTAGTTTAAGATAGATGGTTTAAATGATTGCATTTAACATATAATGCCTGGAATACTACCGATTTATATGTTTCTCTAATGCAATTACTAATTGGTCTCTTGTTCTTTTTCCATAGTGTACTGGTTTTCTGGTTTTGTAAATTGTATGGTTACCCAAAATATTAACAGATCGTGTGTGTGTTTCTTTGTTTTCTTCCATCCATTACCTGGCCAGTTTGCCAGTTTTATGTGGTAGTATAGTTGATTCCTGTAGGAGTTCAACCAAAGTCCCATAGAAATATTGTGTGTGTGTTTTATGGCATAAGTAGTACATATTTTAAATTTTTTTTTTTTTAAAAATTACCTTTGTACAAAAGAGAAAGGCACCTGTTTTTCCCATTCACAGTCCTTAGAGGTGGTGACAGTTTGGTATGTAAACTTCCAGATTACATATAGATTATTTTGGATGCTTAGCATATGGACAGAGTTTTAAAACATCTTTATTTATTCCATAGCTAAATATTTCTCAAACCCCTTTAAGCTCCATTTTGCTAACTTTTGATCATAGCACAGAACTTGGCTTTTTTTCTCTTTGTCATTGACTCATATTTAGCTCTAAGACTTTGGTTTATTCTATTTCATTTTCCCTTATGTCTTCCTTAGGATCCCTTGTCAATGCCTCTCTTTCTTGTTTTTCCCATTTTAGTTTCTGAATTCTTTTGAAAATAAAATCCTCAGTTAAAGTGGTTTGAAATCTCCCAAATTTATATCACTTTAATCAATACAGTTGAATCAAAAAGTATACTTACCAGATTTTCTTAAAAGGGAATTGTTTTATTTAGGAGTTTTTATACAAGTGTAGGGGACAGAAAAGGAGCAGATTGTGAACGTGTGCATGTATCTATGTGTTTTATATGTAGACAAAAGATCTAGTCGCCTAATACAGCAGTAAATAATACAGTAAATAATACTATTTACTATAAATTTATATATATATTTTATATATTAATATATTTATCCGTATTTATACAGATTTATAGTAATAGTACCTCAAGATTGCTGTGGAAATGCTTGAAAACAGCTTGTTCCCTACTAGGTCTCCTGGCTGTATTCTCCAAGCTGTCTTGTTTACATTCATAATTTAGTTTTTGTTATTCTTAGTGAATTACAAGATTTGCTATTAAACAATGTAGGATGAGTGAAGGAATGGCTTAGCAGTACGTGTGACTAGGTTATCAGAATCTTAGTTATTTCAAGCATAATATGAGTCATCAAATTTATGTGGCTGTAAGCAAAAGAATCCATTAATAGATGTTTGTTGTTTAGAATGAAGTGGGATGATAGTCCCACTCTCTTCTCTGCTGGTTAGCTCACAGTGTAAACATTATGTTTAGTTCTTTATGCTGCTCTTGAAGAGAGTCATAGGCAAATCAGTTCATTCAGTGAACTGAAACTAGGGATGATGAGAAAACTATTTTAGTCAGTGTCTAATGAGGAATGTGGAACGTTTGAAGATACTAGGACTGTTAAGAGAAGATTTAGGACAAACCAAGGAAACTGTCTTCACATGTTTTTAAGACTAAAAGATGTGTAATCAACTATTGATTCTTGAGAAGAAAACTAACCAGTTTATGGGGTTACCTGTGGCTTAAAAAAAGTAATTTGGTGCTGGCGAGGATGCAGGGGAAAAAGGTACACTCATACATTGCTGGTGGGACTGCAAATTGGTGCAGCCAATTTGGAAATCAGTATGGAGATTCC